TTTTTAATTAATTTTTGTTTGTGGGGGGGAGAGGAATCCACAAATATTTCCCTGATTTCTGAGAGATGAAAAGGGGCTGCCTATCGCTTTTAACGTCAATGATGTTAATAACGCAAAGCCACAAAAAGGAAATTAAACTTTAAAAACCATGTTAAAATAACACCGAGAATTTGACTATGGCCCACAGAGGCAAGAAAGTTCAAAGGGAAGAGTGAACTTTATCTGACCCTGACGTGCCTAGGAATTGCAACACAATTTCTATGTAATATTATCCAATTTTTAGAGAGGCTTTAGCAGAACAGGAAGAGGAAGGTTACTGGCACCCTATTTAAAATTGAAGTTATTCCCTGTATGGTTTGTACAATGCTGGGAGAGAAAAAAAACCAACTCGAAAATCATCATTTTATGCATCCAAGCTCTGAAATAATTTTATATGTGCCTATTTAGATGATACCTATCAGAAAAGTAAAAGTATCCTTAAACTTAGAGGTTTTCTGTTTGCTTTTTTTTTTTCCCCAGAGAAGGTATATGAGCAAAATATCTTTCCTGTGGAGGTTATTACTCTGTTGTTCCTCTAAACCTTTAGACTTTTAAGCCATAAATCACTTCACTCGGTACATGTTTCTTATTAAACACCATTAAACTTTCTACTCCATCTTCGTGGCAGGTGGTTTGATGGTTTTTTTCCTTATCCTTGTTGTGCTATCTTGGTTTTTGTGTGAGGATTTTCAGTGTTGGGTTTTTTTTTTTTTTTTTTTTTTTTTTTTTTTTTTTTTTTTTTTTTTTTTTTTTTTGCTAGTTAGGAGTTTCATTACAGATGTTGATGTGTTCTGGCCCTGCGTTTGAAATACTGTCAAGGAATGCAGCGCTTAACAAGCTGGGAAATTCTGGAATTAACGAGTGTTGCCTTTCTCACAGGTGCTACAGCTCTTTGCACTTTTGGCTTCGGGAGGAGTTTTTAATCAGAGCTTTGAGTGTTTGCTTGTGTCCTGGCAGCCTGGGGGCAGATGTGTGCCAGCTGCTTTATTCCCAGCCCATGGAGCAGGCTGCAAGGGGACACGAGCTCCCTGCCATCCCTGCAGTGTCACCCCAGCGTGATGAGATGGGGATGTTTGGACCCACCAGAGCAGCTTCTTCCCTTCTCTTCCTCCTTGTGTTCACCCCCGGGGCTGCAGCTCCATGCTGGGAACCTCCCTATTTCTTCTGTTCTGGCAAAAACCTCAACTTCCCTGTCACTCCTGCACTTCCCAGAGGTTTTTTTTAAGCCATAAGATCCCTTCTGCTTTTGGTGGCTGCTGTCACTTCCAGTGTTGTTTTGGTTTTCCCAGAATTGATGGGGATATTCCTCGCTAATGCTGTTAAAATGGTTAAAAATCTTCCAGCTAAATCCTTCTCAGAGGAAGCTGTGCCTGCAGCCTGATGTGCTTGGCTGACCAGAAAACCCCAAAACCCCAGGGCAGCCCAGAAAAGGTGCAGAGGTGTTTGTGGCCTGGGCTGGAATTTGCACATGAGTAACTCAGGGTGCAAAAGTGAAGCTGCTCCGGACCCCTGAGGTCGGGGCTGGGTAATTTGGAGTCACTGACTCAGAAAGGAGGGAAATCCCCCTGTGGAGAGAACCTGGGCAGCCTCAGCTTTTGGCAGCCAGGTGCCTTTGGAGGTGTTGGATGGGGAATGTGCCCAGGTGGGTGGAAAGGATCTTGGGGAGAGTTTTTTCCCCTTGTCCTTCTGCTCTAACCTTGGCTCTGCAGACCCACGAGCTCCTGGGTTTCAGTGGTGCCACTCAGAGGTTGCCCAAGCCCTGTGGTTTCACTCTGGCTGTGCTCCTCGTGTGTTTTCTGACTCCTTGGAGGGCAAATCGTGCTGTTTGTCAGCAGAAGGGGAAGGGTTTTTTTGGTGAAGTGTGAAGCTGCAACGTGGGCACTTCAATTTGGTTTTGTGTTTGCTTTCTTGGAGAAGCTCCAGTGGAGCTCTTCTCCTCTGAGTAACACTGGAGGCCTCCTGCACAGCCTGAACACATGGAATTCCCACAAGAGACACTCCAAAAGAATTTTTTTTTTTTTTTAAATAGCAGCCAATTAATGAGAGACTGCTGCCGTAAAGACTCACTGCGTACTCATTGAAAATGTATTTGGTTCTGCCAAACCACATAGAATAGATGGGATAGAGACATGAACATTTGTAAGGGAGGAGTCAGTATTTCATTTTCCCAGTGACCTGGGAGAGACCCAGAGAGGGTGACTGGTCAAAGGCAATCTACAGAATTCACTGCTGGAGCAACATGGGAATGACGTGGAAGCCCTGGACTGTGAGAAGATTTTTTTAATGATTTTTTTTTTTAAGTTATCATAAGCAAATCTATACACAGACATGACTGGTCTGATCCAAAGCCTGTGTGCATTTCCCAAACTCCTTCTGAGCTTTGGATCAAGTCCTAAGTCTGCAGAGAGGAGCAGGGGAGTTGTTTTTGGGGATTGTGTCTGTCCTGGGCTCTGGCTGATGCAGCAGGAGTGGCTGTGCTGGGAGAAGGATGTGAGCATTGCACATAAACACACTTCTCCAAGGTTTATGCAGGAGGGCTCTAACAACCAGGGGAAATATTAGACATGTGTATTTTACAATAGAATATATGTAAGAAATGTTAATTTTCATGCTGTAAGTTGTTATGAAGAATTTCCTGTCTTGTCATTGCCAGATATAAGATAAAGTTTATTATTATTTCTTGTTGCAGTTAGTTTCTCAAAGAACACACATGTGGCACAAGAGAAATGGGAGAGTTGCACTTTTGTTCTTGTCATCCTGCAGGTCTGTGAGTGTCCCTGTGCCTCAGTTTCCTTGCTTTGAAATGGAGCAAATCAAGCCCTGGGGCACTGAGACAAGTGAGTGAAAGTGTATCAGAAATGGACTTGTGTGATGAAATGGGAGCCAGAGAATTGCATAATTACATTTAAGATAAAACTTTTATTTCTCAGGTTATTGTGGGCATTAAGTTGTGTAATGGTGCAAGAAGGGAAAAATTGAATGCTCTTGAAAACCTTGTGTAGAATTTCAGCGTGGTGAGCAATGTTTCTTTTTGGGGATAGAGCAGGGGGCAGAGGCTGCATTGCAGCATCCCCAAACTGCAGAGAGGGCTGACCTAAAACCCAAACTGATTCCTAGAGTGGCTCAAGTAGGATTGATCTGGTGGAAAATCCCAAATAATGGGTCAGGGTGTGCCAGCAGGAGTGTTAGCATTTGGAAAAGCATTGGATACCTTGCAGCTTGCTTGAGGATGATCAAGCAGGATTACTTTGAGCTTCACTTTTTTTTTTTTTCCCCCCAAAAGAAATTAATCCAAATTCTTAGGAGAAAAGGAATCAAAATTTGTCTTGCCAAGAATCATGGGCAGATGAGGAGGAGGAAAAGAGCAGTGGGTAAATGTGTTTATTGGTAAGGTATTTTTAAGGCAAAGAAGTAAAGCCATGAGTTAAATTTTGGAGTCACGAGTATTTTTGAAATTTTCTTGGTGAAGTGTTTGGTCTCTCGGGGACTTCACTCAGATAATTTTGGTCAATTATTTTGTATTAGTCTGCCTCATGGGAGGGTATCCTCCCAGCACAGAGGCTCTTTTATCAGCCTGTGTCCTGATTTACCACTAAATGTTGTGGGAGTTTCTCCAGAGCCATGTGATGTTTTGGCTGCACCTCTGCCAGTGCAGATCTGACACTTCAGATGGGATTTTTGTCGTGCACAGATGGGCAGGACCAGGCTGTGACAGCACCAGGAAGGGGTGAGAAAAGGAAGGCTCTGCTGGATCTGAGCAGCTCCTGCCTGCTGGGGAACCAGAGCTGAGCTGGTGCAGAAAGCAGGGACAGTGATCATTCCTTGCCCCAGCAGAACCCTTCTCCCTCTCTCAGCAGCTCAGGGGGGGCAGAAGGATCCTCAGGGAGCAGTGGGGATCTGCTCTGGAGCTCTGGGACTCACTGAAAAGAAGATTCCAGAATCCCACAGGGTTTGGAGGGAACTCTGGAGATTCTCCAGTCCAACTGCCCTGGTTCTGTGCTGCTCTGGCTTCTGGGCAGCTCCAACCTGCTTTAACAGTTTAACCAAGCTTGGAAATGTCCCCAAAAAGCTGAGTTTTACTGCAGAGTGTTGTGCCTTAGTGATGTTCTCCAAGGTGACTAAACAGCCTGCCAGTATAACTTTATATCACTTCTAAATGTTAATTAATTTATCACGGTGTAAAAGCCATCCTTAGTGATACTACTGCAGCAACAGTAGGGCTTCTAGCAAAAAAAAAAAAAAAAAGGATCACAAGAAACACACTTTAATTCAATTTAATGGGGGGAGAGGAGTGTCCCAAAGCTCTGTATGGGATTTCTGCCAGTTTGAAACCCAGCCCTGTGCTCCCCTGCCCACCACAAATAACACAGAACCCAAATGTTCAATGGAGCTGGAGTTGGGTCGTGGTTAAGAGAGAAAGGCCTTGATTGCATAAACAGAACCAAAACACGAGGAACAATTGGTGGGAGAAAGAACAAGGAGAAAAGAAAGAAAGAAAAAAAAAAAAGTCTTTCTAAATCATTTAAATCGGTAACACCCCACATGAAGGAGAGCTTGTTCTTTGGGAATGTGGTCCCACAAGGAGTGGTGAGTACGTGCAGCCCACAATTTTGACAAGGTCAAACCATCAATTTTTTCACAAGATTTGTTCTCTGTTTGTTGTTCTGGGGGCTTGGGTTTGGTTTTTTGGCAAAGCAAGTTGCTTTTACTTTGTGACTTTGGGGCACGGTGACTGGAAATGTGCATTTTTTTCATCAATGGAGAACATACACTTTGATATTTTTGGTATTATGCCACCCATAAGAGCCATTTAATTAAAAGTTGGACTCAGTGGTCCTTGTGGGTTCCTTCCAGCTTGGAATATTCTGTAACTGCTGCCTGCTGAGCCTTTAGTACCAGTTAAGCTCATAGTGACACTGACCTTCATTTATCACCCTTCATTCCCAGCCATCAAGATCACAAAATGCCATTTAAAAAGCAATTCTTGCTGTGAAGGAAACAAAGCAAACGCAGCAATGGTTATTTAGAAGTGTGCTCTGTTTCTGCATCCTGCATGGGAGCTTTTTCCTGTGAAGGAATGTTTAATATCACGTGGAGAATAAAGAGAAGTGAACTGGCAGAGCAGTGAGTGGGATCCTTTCACACCCTCTCGAGGTAGCTCAGATTTATTTTATTTACCTCATCTCCAAAACCCCTTGCCCAGCACTGAGATTTGTCCTTTCTGTGCCGTTTTATCGTTTATTTTAAAAAAGAGCCCATTGTGCCTCGAGCCTTCCTGTCCCTGCTCCTTTGTGCCTTTTTCCTGTTCCAGATGTTGTCCCACAGGGCTCCTCTGGAACTCGCTGCTCCCTTGGGGTTTAGTTGCTTTTTTTGGGGACAATTTGTGACAAGAGGCACAGGAAAGCTGCCTCTCCTTGTTCCTCAGCTTCTGCTCTGTTCCTAAAAATTCCTGATTATTCTCCCAAAATTATCATTATCATCTACTTGAGAAATATTTCACTTTTTCTGAGTGGAGACTTCCAGAGCCCATTGCCTTTTGTGCTGTTGGCAGAAGCCAAACCAGTGATTCCATGGGAATTTTTTCCAGTGTGGACCCTGGTTAGTGCTGGGTTCTGGAAGGTGGATCCTGGACAGCCACACTTCTAAAATAAACACCATGCTGAAGGAAATCAGCTTGTGGTTAATTAGCAGCACAGAGAATGAATATGGATCAGTGTTCAGATGTTTGAATTGGAAGCTCTTGATGTAACTTTACAGCCTTGGATGCACTAGCATTTTTTTTTTTTCAAATCCTAAAGAACCATCCAAAAAAAAAAAAAAAAAAGTATTTTAAAAGCTCTTTTGAAGGCAGCTTTCTGTATTAAACTGATTGAACCGAGGGACTGATGATGTCATTTCCCACAAACTTACTGCAAAAAACTCTCCTATAAAAACCTAATGTTAGGAAAACCACAGCAAAATGAGAGCAGCAAAGCCATGTGCCCAAGGAATAATAAATAATGCCATCAGAGGTGGAGTAGCAGCACTCTTGCACCACTCCTGGAAAAAAGCCCAGGTGCCTTTTCCCTGGGGAGGTGTTTGAAAGCCTCCCATCCTCTTTTTGAAGCCTCTTGGTGCAGTGCTGACACTTCTCAGCACGGGTGTCTTGAGGATTCCTGTGATCCTGATGAGGAGAAAAAAAAAAAAAAACACAGAAAAGAAAAAAAAACCAGCCTGGTTGTAAAACAGCTTTTTGAAACAAAATGTTCCATCGAGAGCGAGCTGGCAGCACCATTGTGTGCTTTCTTTGAAATGTCTGCTGATTTAAAGGGAGGCACTTCTGATCTTTGCTGTATTTTTGTGGCTTCCCTTGGTGCTTTTTTTTGGTTTTTTGTTTTTTTTTAAGGTTCTCCTTGAAGCAATGCTCGCTGTGCATTAACATCAGCCAAGCAATGCCATTCTGGAGCTTTGTGCATATGGAAAATGCTGGGATTTTTTACTGTTGAAAAAGGAATCTCTGGGTGAAATGAATCAAGTTTGAAAAATAGATATATATATATATATATATATATAGATATATATCACTAAATTTACCCACACATGTTGTAAACATTCTGTGTAAAGTATAAGTCAAAGAGGTTTAATGTTGTGACAAAACAGAGCAAAATAATCTCAGAAAAGAAATAAAATTAATCTTTGTGTGGACCAAGCTCCACTGGCTATTCCCTCCCCAAAATACCAACCAGGCTGTTTTTTAGATAAGATGAACCTGATGCATTTTCTGCTGAATTTTGGGCAGAGTGCTCTGGGATTGCACTGGTGAAGCACAAACCCAGCCGGGTTTGGCCATTTTGGGCCAGGATTGCTTCAGGAGATGGACAATCAAATTAAATGTGTTGAAACAAGAGAGTAAATGCCCTGCTTGGGGGATTGGGCAGTGCCCAGAGGCTCCCACAGAGCTCAAAAAGTCTTTTTTTTTTTTTTTTTTTTTTCCCATGGACCTTGTGCAATGATTTCCAACAGCAGGGCAGAAATCTCTGAATCCTCAGGCACGGAGGAAACATCAGGAGCCTTTTGGATAAGGCAAAACCAGGAGGATCCTGGCTGGGAAATCCTTTTTAGAGCAAAGCAGGCTGGAGTGGGGTTAACTTTGTGTCACTGGGTCCTTCACACAGGCTGGTGCAAATTCATCCTTTATTTTTAAGGAAAAGATATTTGGAGTTACCTTTTCCATCCAGTGAAAACTTTGGTTTTAGGTTTTTTCAACTCTTCCAAGAAAGAAAATGAAATGTTGACTTTAAGCACCTCAGTTAAATACTCCCAAGCTGTGAAAGTGCACATTTAATAGGGGAAAGTTCTGTTTTTAATGCAGTAGTTTGCATTTATAGGAAAGATAAACCCAGTCTGAAGTAACATTTCTCTGAGCCTTTTTTTTGGTAGAATTTGATCAGTGGTTTAAGTTCCAGGAACACTTCAAAGCAGGCAGCTCTCATTGGCCATTTGCAAAATCAACTTCTGAGACTGAGGCTCTGGAAATGCATTTATTCATAGAATATGTCTTGCATTAGTCCTCAGTTGGCCAACAAAATTATCTAAGGCATGTCTGAGGCAGCTACTAAAAAGAAACTTAAAAGACATTACTGTTCTAGTGAAGATGATGCAATACACTCGAGCTATTATCAGTCTCCAAGTAAAATTAAATACATTCAAATGAACTTGTTCTGAAGGGTTTTGATGAGTACAGAGCTTTAAAGAAAGCTTTTGAGTGGAGGCCCACCCTTGTTAATTTGTTGTGCCTGAAAGCTGAGGTGAAAGGAGGGTGCCTGTACCCACCCCTGAGCTGAGCCCAGGTTTGCATGGCATGAAAAGGAAGTGACACATGATATTCCATGTTGTTTTTCCTCATCTCACAGGCCAGGCAAACAACAGTGGAATTTTGCAGCAGGAAGCAAAATGCTAAATAAGTTGGCTTTTATTCAGATAGGCTTAGAGCAGAGTGGGGTGAATGTTCCCTTTAAATCAGAATTCATAGCTGTTGCCTTGAGGTACCTCAGACAGCACTGCCTGCTGGGGCTGAAATAAAATGTTATTTTTATTTGTTAAAACACTTCATTATCTGAGAGAACAGCAGTGTTTTAAGATTTCAAAGTCCCTTTCATCCTCACTGAGCACAGCAAAGCTCTGCCTCAATGCAGGAATTCTATGGAACAGTTCAATGAGTGCAGCTGATGCACAAAGTCCAGCAAATTCCCCCCCACCCCCCCCCAACATTCCAAGCGCATTCCAAGGCTTCTGGAATGCCAAGGTTCCCTGGGCACCTCACTTGGAGCTTTGCAGGCCCACGAGCAGGTGGGGATGGCAGGGCTGGGGAGCAGGTGGCTGCTGCTCCCACACCCCTGTGACAAATGGCACCGAGCATTCCGGATTGCTGGCTCCACTGCCCTCTGGGGAATGTCTCACGTCTCTCACAAAACAATTAAGAGCCCATTAGCAGGAAATGCTTTTGCCAAGCCAGCACCTGACACAGCCACTGGATGCACCTTCACTTGTGAGGCAGGAATGCAGCAGCCTTGGCCAGGGAAGGATTCCCCCATTGGGCAGCCTGGCCCTGCTCCAGCCCTTTCAGTTTTATTTTATTTTATTTTATTTTATTTTATTTTATTTTATTTTATTTTATTTTATTTTATTTTATTTTATTTTATTTTATCTTATCTTTCCTTTCCTTTCCTTTCCTTTCCTTTCCTTTCCTTTCCTTTCCTTTCCATTCCTTCCCTTCCCTTCCCTTCCCTTCCCTTTTTTTTTTTTTTTTTTTTTTTTTTTGCATGGTTTCCATATCAGTGCCTCCTGTAGCCATCCATGTTGCTTTTTTGATTACTAAGTAGTAGCTGGCTGAGCAGCCAGAGCTTTTATAGCAGTGAAATCCTTCTGTGTGGGAGTGTGTGGCCCCTGTGGAAGTTTCAAAGGCAGAGACAATCTTATCTTCCTAAAAAATACGAGTAAATAATAAAAAGCAGATTTTAAAAGAATCCCCCAAAGAGTCATGGTAATTTATCAAGGGTGATCAGCAGAGGAAAGCAGAAAGGGTTGGTGCTCTTTGTTTTGCTCGTGCACATATTTCCCTTCCTGATGCCACTCTGATTTTCAGAAAAATGTATATTTTTAGTTCTTAGCATATATTTTCCCCTCTTTTCTTTCCCTGCCTGTAAAAAGAAACCGTGTATTTCCCAGGATTTGCTCACCTGCACTTCAGCACTCATATTTTGAAAGTGAAATCTGATTAATTGCTGCAGGAAGAATGGGATGGGGATGTTTTTAATTTCTTTTCCCTACAAAGCCACTTCACACCCTGGTACACAGCTCCTGGGACAGCTGCTCCTTCCTGTTTGTCCGTCTCATTTACCTGCTCATCCTGCTGTAAATGGAAATTCCTGGGTCAGGGACTTTCTCTTCCCTGCTGCTTGTGTATTAGGGCTGATATTTGGTTGGGGTTTAGCGGGGGATTAGTGGGTGCTGCCATCAAACAATCGGGCATCCTCAAGAGCCAGCGGTGTGAAGGGGCTGGAATGGAATTTGCTGAATTCATTCCGTGTGCAAATGAGCACACACAGGTTCAGCTGCAGAGCTCTCCTGGAAAGGAACAAACTTTTCAGGTTTGGGGAGCTGCTTTTGTTTGCTTTTCTGGACACCCTCTTCCAGCTGAGAGCTTTCTGTAGCTCTGGGCACAGGGGAGGTTCTGAGCACAGATTAAACTGTCTGAATGCTCCTGGGTTCTACCCGAGGCTCATTCAGGGTTCTTTTCTTTTTTTTTTTTTTTTTTTTTTTTTTTTTGGGAACTGTTATGCATAACTGCATTCGTGATTTCAAGTTTTGACATCTATCTTTGTGGTGTTGGAACTCCTGGAGTGTTTCCAGTATCCTTGCACAGCAGGGACCTGCCACTTGTATTTACAGAAAAGCCTTGAGAGCAAAGGGGACAATTCTGATAAGGATAAAACACTTAAAAAGCACCTGAAGATTTTGAGAACTTGGGTTTAATTACCAAATCCAGCTAAGCTTTATGTGCCAGAACAAGAAATTCATCTCACTTTGCTCTGTTGGAGAACTGTGTCCCCAGAGCCTCACTTTTTTCAATCTGGTGTGGCTTTTACCATTCCCACATTTATTTTAAACAAAATATTTTCTCCTTCAAGCCCAAATATTGCAAATGGGAGCAAGGAATGCAGAATATGATGTATTCCAGTTACCTGGGGCACTCATGTTTTATCTTTGATTTGTGCTGAGAGAGAGGAGATAGCAACAGCCCATCCCTGGCAGGGAGGAGGAGGAGAAGTATTTTCAGAATTACAACCCTGTGGTGAATCAGCACATCCCCCGGCTGGGTTTCCTGCTGTGGGCAGGGCGTGGTGCAGGGATGGGACCCCAAAGTGCCCCTTCCTCACCTCTCCCAACTCCTGAGACAACCCAGCCACACTCCCAGCAGAGCTTCCCACCACTGTTCCCAAAAACAGCGGGATTTGTGGGGTGAGGAGCACGGGGATCTGGGATGGAGGAGCACAGGGGATATGGGATGGAGGAGCACAGGGGATATGGGATGGAGGAGCACAGGGGATATGGGATGGAGGAGCACAGGGCTCTGGGATGGAGGAGCACAGGGGATCTGGGATGGAGGAGCACAGGGGATCTGGGATGGAGGAGCACAGGGCTCTGGGATGGAGGAGCACAGGGGATCTGGGATGGAGGCTGCAGGAGGAGCACAGGGCTCTGGGATGAAGGAGCACAGGGCTGTGGGATGGAGGAGCATAGGGCTGAGGGATGGAGGCTGCAGGAGGAGCACAGGGCTGTGGGATGGAGGCTGCAGTTGGTCACAAACCACTGTCCTACTTTTTGGTATGGGTGGCCTGATTTGTACAATGGTGCCAGTTCTCATCGGGCTGTTTACAGAGCACAGGCAGGATGTGTGCTGGGCTGTCGCACTGCATTATCTGCTCCTGCTGTATTTTTAGGCTCTTGCTTCCATGACAAAATATTCAGTGACAGTATATTTGCCCACAAGCCTTTGAAGGTCTGTTTTTGCCTCATGGAAGAGCTCCCATTGTTTGGGATTCAGCCAGCCTTTAAGCAGCAGTGCTGTGTGTTTTACATGTCATCTCCATAATGTTTCTAGAAACAAACTTTGGGTTGCTTTCAGTAAAGCCTCAGAAAGGTTGAGTTTGTGACAGGCTGGCTGCTGCTCAGTCCTCGGTGCCAAACAAGTTGTGGGGAATGTTGTGAAAGCTGTGGGGAGGGTGTGTGGTGCTGGTAATTCCAATAAATAGAGCAGCCTGTGGAGGAGCTGCTGCCTCACAAGGGAGCCCAGATCCATGCAGGGGGATCCCAGAGATGCTCAGGTCAGGCAGCAGAACAGGAGAGCAGATTGTTGCTGCAAGTGCTGCAGCTGAAATGTGAGAAAGTCGTGCTCTAAGGAGCAGGACTGAGACTTCTGGTGTGAAATCCTGGGCCAGGACTGTGGAACTTTCCACCAGCACTGAGAGCTAATTCCCCAAGCTCAGCATATTCAAAGCCTGAATTCAAAACTCATCTTTTCCATGAGTATTTTTTTTTTTTTCTCACAAACTCACAATGGATAAAAATAAAGTCTTAAGAACTAATCCAGTTAAGCTTTTTCTTGCCGGCTGAGAAGAAAGGGAGGCAGGAGGAACAATGAGCACTTTGTTTCTCTTTTGCAATATCTGGTCTGTGGTCAGATACAACAGAGGCAAAGGGGTCACAATAACCACAGATCATTTGGAGCTGCATTACAGGTCTGGGTGGGACATTTTGGAGGGGATAGAACCAGCACAAAGCCGTGTGGGCATGGTGACTTAAAAGACTGAAGAAGACAAATCTTCTTTTCCAGGCTCATCTATAAATCAATTACCATTTGTTCCTTATTAATAATTTAGCTGCCAAGAACGTGCTTATTGCTTTAGAAGAGGGGGAGAAATACAGACTGTCCCTGTACTGAGGAGCTGGCAGGCTCAAAGATGCAAGGCAGTACTCCTGGGAATATCCAGGGAAAACTGTAACCATGGGCTGTATTAATTACTTCAATAATTTTGCACTATCTGCTCCCTTTTTGTCAGCTTGCATCGTGGTGATCCTGGTTGGTGCTCTCAGTTTAATCAGCCTTCCCAAGGAAACGAGCTGGTGAAGGATCATCCTTCCATCTCTTCAGGGCTGGAAGGAATTTCTGCAGCCCTGTAATGGCTGAAAGCTGCCAAAAACAGGGACAGGGACCCAGGTGGGAGAGGAGGAGAAGCCAGAGGGAAGCACGTGAGGGATGTCCAGTCTGGACATGGAGTTTGGGAGAAGCTGCTGTTGGTATGAGCTCTCAAGTGTGTTATAAAAGAGGGCCTGGAGTGCCTTGAGGACAAGGTTTTGAACTTAATACCTGTGAGAAGATACGGGACAGTGTGAGAGAGGAGGGTGATTGATGGGTCACAGTGATAATTTTAGCAGCTCTGTTTTCTGATGGGTTGGAGGAACAAGATATTTATCTGATGTGCCAGAGAGGAGGAAGAGATTAGCTGGGATGACACAAGGACAGGCAAGTTGTTTTGATTGCTGAAAGGAAAAAGAAGGGCTAGGTCTTCACTTGCTTCAGAGGTTTGGATTTTTGGGGTTTTTTTTTGCTTTGACTTCTGCATAAGAAAATGTATCAGACGGAAAAAGGCTGCTGGGGTGGTCTGGAGCCGTGGTTCTGGATGGTGAGTAGTTTCTAGAGTAAGGTTTGATGCAGCAAGTCCGTGCCAGGATGGGGCTGAACCTCGGGTTTGTGGCTGCAGGTGCAGGCAGGGGCTTTGCCATTCCCCCAGCAGCACGGAGAGACACAATGCAGGTGAGGTGCAGAATCTGAGAATAACAGAAAGGTTTGGGGTGGAAGGGACCTTAAATCTCACCCCAATACCACCCCCTGCCATGGGCAGGGACCTTCCACCATCCCAGGCTGCTCCAAGCCCTGCCCAGCCTGGCCTTGGGCACTTGCAGGGATCCAGGGACAGGCACAGCTTCTCTGGGCACCCTGTGCCAGGGCCTGCCCACCCTCCCAGGCAGGAATTCCTTCCTTATATTGAATCCAAATCTCCCCTCTGCCAGTTTAACCCGTTAAGGCACGGCACAGAACTTGAGTTGAGGTGCTCAGGGATGTTGGGAGGCAGAGCATGGAGCTGGCAGTGCTCTCCTCGAGGGGAGAGCCCCTGGCACAGCCCTTGGCATGGATTTGAGGGCTGGTTTGGGATCAGCTGGCACACTGAACACTGCAGTGTCCTTCCCCTGGCAGCAAGTTCATCTGGGAGAAGGATGAAGGATGTTGTCTGCAGGCTTGGAGGTTTGGGAATGGGATAAGGAGGAAGGTGAAGAGGGGTTGGACTTGTTTAATGTCTCATTGAGAGGGGGAGTTGGATCCTGTTACAAACAGAGCAGACTCTCAGTAAATAGAGGCTGAGTGCTGTGAGGGGGAGGCTGCTTGGTCATTGCCTCTGTGTATTTTAGAGCAATCACATTTGTTTCACGGAGTTGTTTTTTTGAGGATGGAGTGGGTGTGTGGACCAAAGGCTTAGTCACGAGGGGAGGGGAA